CTGCCTCAGCCTCCCAAGTAGCTGGGACTACAGTCATGCGCCACCATGCCCGGCTAATTTTTTCTATATATTTTAGCTGTGCAATTAATTTCTTCCTATTTTTTTTTTTTTTTTTAGTAGAGACGGGGGTCTCACTCTTGCTTAGGCTGGTTTTGAACTCCTGAGCTCAAACAATCTGCCCGCCTCGGCCTCCCAGAGAGCTAGGATTACAGGCGTGAGCCACCGCGCCCGGCCAAGTTATTAGATTTTTAAAAAACAATGGATAATTTAATATTTTAAAGGCTGTTTAGAAGAAAACGCAAAGTTGATATATCTACCATGTGTGAAAATACATTGGATTTTCAACTTTTGTTTTCTCTGATGCAAAAGATGAACCACTGTGGAACTCAGGCCCCCATCTGGCTGTCTCTGAGGGATTCAGAAACACTGCCGCCTCCTGGGGAGATCAAGCAACTGACAGCTTGTGCCACATGGCAGTTTTTGTTCAGCAGTAGAAAGGACTGCTGTCTCTTTCAAATTCCGGTGTCTGTAAGAAACTGTGGGGAATTTTTTGTGTACTTACTACGACCCACTCAAGGATGCATGGGCTATTGTGCAGAAGGTAAGAAAACATCAGTAATACACATGAACTGCTAATTATGGAACTGTGTGTTCATGTGTTTGTACTATCCTCTGGTTAGATTGTATTGAGCTAATGCAAATCTCAGTAAGAGACTTGGTCTACCATTATTGCTAGATTGAAGCTAAATTTCTGTCTTAAATGGCCCAGATTTGTTTAGAATTCTTTGCCAAGATCTTAAAATCCTCAATGAACATAATGATTGTGTGTTAAAAATTCTTTTGTTTCCTCGAGCCCTTTTACCCTTTAATTAAGGGATGAAGAATGGTGAGTAAAAATTATCATGAAAATATGTACTTTATATTATTTCATCTTTCATTAACTATCATTTATTGAATGTGTATCTTGTGTCAGGAATTATTTTAGGCCTTGGGGTTACAGTGATGAAGAAGACAAAAAGAGAGAAATCGAGGACAATATCTAGCGTTTTTGCTTGAGCGACTAAGTTGGGAAAGACTAGGGTACAAACACATCACCGTGGGGAGAGGGAGGATTCAAGAGCTCTGTTTTGGTATCTAAGAGGGCACATGACATATGCAGACAGAGAATACACATCAGCTTCATGAGCGTGACGCTGACCATGGTGTTGACTGGGGATGTGGTGGAATAAAGATCTTAGCTGGGAGTTCCTGTAACACACCATCATACAGCTCCCCACAGGTAATTGAACTTAATGAAACTTTTTGTTTTCTTTTTCTCTGTGCTCAACTGTGACTATGAACTCTTTGAAAACAATGTGCCCTTTACATCAGGGTCTCATGACCTGGTGTCCTGAACAAAATAGGGATTCACCAAATGCATATTTGGGCCACTCATTTAGTAGAAGGAGTAGCCAAACTCCTCTGATGCAAGAAGCTCAAAACCACACAGTGACAATTTTTGCTGGGACTGTTTAGATAATAGTGAAGCTAATAAATGAGGAATTTCTCCTATAGGCTTGGGAGAAGGGTGAGTGTGCTTGTGTGTGACCAGTTATGGAAGGAAAACAACCCCTAATGCATTACTATTATCTGGGCTCAACCATATATAGGAGACTGAAAATGCTGAGAGATACTGCTGTAGACCAGTGTTATCAAAGTAGGCAAACACTTGATCCATCAAACAATATTTATTTGGGTAACACTTATGATGAACATTTTTGTCCTGAGGTTGTTAGATTTTCCAAACTGGCAAAGCCTGAATAACACTGATACAGCAAAACAAGTAATATAATTTACTTGGGTATTATAGTAATTAAGATTGGGTTTTAATAACCAAATATATATAAAATAAATATCCAATCTTAAAAAACATTTTGCTCATCATAGCTATGGAATTTGAGCCAGTAATGTTAGAACAATTAATTCCTTTAAGTTTCTAGCATTCTTACCTCTTGAAAACTTGTCCTGATGCCAGCAAAAAAACTTACGTTTTCTCTCATGGTTAATTATTTCTTTGAAAACGTAAAAGAACAATTTTAATATTTGGGGGATTTTGTAACACATTCTTTTTTCTTAACAACAATGACAAGCACCTCATAATATTTCCAAATGACTTCTAAAGTTGATGTAAATACACTGTCATTGGCTAAAATCTCTAAGCAAATAAGACATTATTGTCTACATGACACCAGAGACTAAAAGATAATGTTCTCAACATATCATTTTATTATTTCATTGTTTTTGGAATATATGCTACATTTATGAAAAATAAAATTGTTTAGATTTACTTTATCATTCATTGCAAGGCAGTAGTTGTATCTTTAAAAAAGAAATGATTTAAAATTATTGTTTACTAAGATGGAAATAAACTTATAAAATTTATTAATTTGAACAATACTTATTGGCAATATTCCACAAGTATAATAATCCACTAATTATTTCACACATCTGTGCTGCTGGAGGCATTCCTTTTTTCCAACCAACAGGGCAAGTCCTTATAGAGGAATGAACAAAGCAAATGTGATCCCCGCGCTCATGGCACAGAATTTTCATGCAACTACATATTGCAATTAATGGTATGAATAAAAAGATTCAAAATTGCTGTAGAAGAGAACACTGGAGGTGAGGAGAGGATGTCATTAATAATGAAGTGTCACCAGAAAGAGCATCTTCTGACAAAAGGGCATTGATGCTGAGAGCTGGAGGAGGGTAAACAGCCCTTGGTCAGACAAAGAGTGAGCGGAAACAGCAATAGCAGCAGGCGACAGGCAAAAAGTGTATGTTGTGCCTACAAAAGTGAAAACAGGACAGAAATGTTGTATCTCAATGCGGTGAGAGAGAGCATTACGAGACGTGAGTATGGAAGGGCAACGAGCCTGATCGTTTAGAGAGTTCTGCATTTTATCCCCTGTGCATTGAGAAGTCCATGGAGAATTATCCTGAGGGAGTGAGCGGGTAAATCTTCGCAGTCCTTACACAGCTGCTGTCCAGCTAAAACTGGCTGAAAGCAGCCTGTTTATTAAGGAGGGGCAGCATCTGCTCAGTTTAGCAGAGCTAGTGCCATTCATTGGGAAGGAGGAAGTCTGGAGAGATTCATCAGCCTCATTAGGTAGCCAAGATGAGATATTTTGAAAAAATTAAAAAATATTTTTCAGTATTCTTATCACAAAAAGTAGTTAATTTTTGTGAAACTTCCTGTAATACTAGCAAATGTTTGTGGAAAATTCTGTTTCATGGAAACACCAATGATTTACCTACATTAGTTTAAGAAATACTGACAACTATTAAAAATGAAAACAAAACTTTCACACCAGAGAATAACATAAAATACAAATAATCACTTCAACAGAGATGTTACTGTTTACATTGAATTTTAGAAGTAATATTTAAATTTATGACACTCCTTCAAAATTTAAAATATATTTCTTGCTTTGTTAATGTCACTACCAACCACTCATTTTCTCAACCTCAAATATTCAAAATTACCTCTTTTGTTCTCCACATTCAAGTCCTCCAAATATTTAGGGATAGGGAGACAGTTGTTATTTTTCATTCTTAATGTGTCAGTTATTAAGAAAACTTACTATCTTGTCTGGTTTACAGATAAAAGCTTGCCTTAAAATACCATTTAGAACTCGAATTACACTGCGTAGATAGGAAACAAAAATGACTGTCACTCAACCTTTAAGAGTTTCTTTTTCTGACTTACCAAGTGTCTGGAGCAGGTGCTTGCTGCTGATGGTGATTTGGCCACTTTACAATGTCAGGCTGAAGTCTCTGTGATTTGCTAATCTTTTCCTTCATGTTGACAGGATGAAGATCCAGTTTTAGCCTTTTTATCTGCAGTTTAGACAGGATAAAAAAGAAAGCTCAAAAGGTGAAGGAAGCCTCATGCCAACTGAAACTTATTCCCTTTTAAAGGGCTTATTTGGAAAAAGCCTTATCACGACTACTTAAGAAGCATTTTCAGGCTCATCTCTATCTTCAAAGGCAGTCTGTCAAATGTCGCTTTTTACTTGGACATATTGCTGCCTCCAGCCAATATATCTTATCTGGCTGAAAGCCACATTATTTACTTTAAAAATAACCAACAGTAAAAATTAGAGAATAAGATTTCACTTTTAACAGCATATTCTCATGAAGATTTTTTATTATAATTCATATATATACATTTATGTAATTCATTTATCCTTAGAGACTTTGAAAAGCCAAATAAGGAAAGAAACATTGATTCAAAATCATACTTGAAATTAAAGCCATTCTAACAAAAATATGTATATATTGGGAATGTTGTATCTTAAGGAGACTCCATGGAAATATACATATTTTTTTACATTTTTTGTATTTCTAGTTCACAGTTTAGTTAGGTTCTTATAGTACATGTGAGGTGGCATTGTGTCCATTAAAAGTAGGCTATTAAAAGTTAAAGATGTATATTATAACCCTTAAAGCACCCACTAAAATAAAACTTTTCATTATAGCCAATCAGCCATAAAGGGCCATAAAATGGAGTGTTAAAAGATAATCATTTTTTTAAACGCAGGAGAAGATGAAAAATGGAACAAAGCACTGATAGGATAAATAGAAAACATATCAACATGGTAGATTTAAACCTAACAATATGAACAATCACATTAAATATATATGATCTAAACACCCCAATTGAAAGGCAGAAATTATCAAATTGTATCAAAAAGTAAGACTCAAGACCTATAGGCTGCCTAGAAAAAACTTATTTCAAATATAAATGAGTTCAAGAAAAATGAGTTCAAAAGTGTAAGGCTAGAATAAGATATACCTAGATAACATTAATGGCAGGAAATGTAAAGTGGCTGTATTTATATTAGACTAAGTAGACTAGAGAGCAACGACTATTACAAGGAAAAAACAAGGGCATTTCCTATTGTTTCCTAATGATAAAATGTGCAATTCAACAAGAGAATTCTAAATGATTATGCACCTAATAACAGAATCAAAATACATGAAGCATCTACATTTATTATTAGAGATCGACACCCATCTGTCAATAATTGATTGAACATGTAGAAATAAAATTAGCAAAAATGGATACTAGAACACTTTACCAACCGACTTGATGTAAATGACATGTAGAGAAGACACCCCAAAACAATAACAGCAAAAACATTCTTTACAAATGCATATGAAACATCTACCATGATAAACCACATTCTGGGCCCTAAATTAAGAAAATTAGAATATTTAATAAAAATTGAAG